TTTTAATTTAAGCTGTCTTAACAATTAAAAAATATAACGAACTGTAATGATCTTTTTGTTATATTTATCTTAACATGTAATGAGTAATGAGGATTAAAAACCTGCAATTATCACGTTTGTATTATTAAAAAAAATGTAAAAAAAAATAAATATTGTACTTAATATTGTACACATTTTGTACACGTAAAAAGTAATACTTGAACACATCACATTTTTCTTCTAATTTCAATAAAGAACAACAATTACTTCAGGGGCGGACTGGGATAAAAAATCGGACCGGGCGATCCTAGGTAGAGGCCCAAAAATTCCACGAATATTATTATACAGCATAAGTTTTTTTATAACAATGTCCAATAACCATCTTTTCATTTGATACACAAAACTAAAAAACTTTAAAAATTTCTTTGTGTCATTGATGGTCAACTGAATCATGTAATTATCATAGTCGCTCCAAAAAAAAAAAAAAACCGTAGCTACTATTAGCACCATTTGAATACCTTTTCTTTATTTCTAGCTAAATTAATGTATGAACAATATTATGAGATTATTGTATGTGAACTCGTAGTCTAAAGGTATTGAACGCCATACATAGCGACAGGTATCGGGTTCAACTGTTGAAATTTTATTTTGCACTTTTTTAATTATTTTCATGATGATTGATAACTGATACAACAGTTAGTAACTTAGTAATTACCCTGTGACCTACTTGGGGTGGTGTTGCATAGCAAGTCGAGGGATATTTACGATCAGCGGAGCGGAGCGATGGCGCTGAGGAGCGTAGCGACAAGTGCCGTTAGCATGGCATCACTGACGTGACAACTGCCCCCGACCCGCGCTTTAACTATTCGGGTATCGAATATATACACGGACAGTCCGTGTACGCTCTATCCACCCGGGCACCCGGATATCTAAACACAGCGTATTTTATATTACTCTATCAACCATCACTGCAGCTGCATAGATAATCGTTTTTCTATGGTATATTGGTGTTACTCTACGTCGCAATGAACAAACTAAGCTACAGTTTTGAAAACTGCACAATTTGCTGATAAATTAATCACTACACAGTTCTACATATGGGCCCAATAAAGCTGTGAGGGCTTGCAATCATACCAGCCCAGGAGGCGTTCGCCCCCTCGCCCTTCGGCCCAGTCCGCCCCTGAATTACTTGAATAATATTATAATTTCGTTTGTGCATAATGTGCAGAAATATATGATTCGATTGAATAATAAATTAACTCATTATTTAAAAAAATGTCACTTATCACACTTGTGCGTTACGCCATCGAAATATGCAATAGATCAAAGTCTTTGTTGAGAACTTATATTATTAAAATCTGATGGGTTAAAATGTAAGCCGCATACACGCTTGTTATGTATTTAATCGGTTAAAAGCAAATCAGCCAATTTAATATTCCTTATAAGAATAAAAAAAAACAATTAATATTAGTATCTAATTTCATAAACAAAATTAAAAAAAAAAAAATTGATAAAATATCTATAAACATTTAAAAAAAAAAACACTATTAACTTTTTATCCCGATTAAACAATCGACAAAAATAGCTAAAAAGCATGTATGGTATATGGATATAGGAATTGTAGAATTATCCTACATGGAATTATAGAATATGGAGATATATAAACGTACAAGTTATCGAATATCGTAGAAAAAGTATTTATTTTTGTAATTATATTACAGTATTACATATTTAATTAACCACTAGTTAATAAAAAGTCTTTTTGCATTTTTAAAATAATTACAAATATAATAAATATCAGGTAGAAGATAGTATGCTTGTAGTAAACGTATTATAATTATTAAACAATAAAAATACATTCAATTATAAAAACGACTAGAAAATACACTATGGAGTATACACTATAGGATCGAGTGGGAGAGAATCGCACAGTCGATTGCGCATGGCGACGCGTCGCCACACCGTACATACGACTGCATATAGACTATATACATCATATAACGCCACGGCATAAGTCGCCACGCCAGAAATCGATTTTACGTGCGGCTATAGATGTTTCACATCAAAAATAATAGCTGCATTCTATTTTTATATATAAATTACGTCAACATGCTTTACGGTCGTCTCTATTCGGCATTCGTTATCTAAAATCTAAATTTTGAAATAAACAATAATTACGTACCTATTTTATTAAAAATATTTTACAAATTACCGTTACGCTATATTTTGAGACATCGTTATAGTAAATAAATTGGTTTCCATATCGCCTATACCAGAGTCTATGTATATTTTTTATATTTATATTTAATTTAATATTTTATATTTTATAATTAATCTATGGTCGAACTCCCGAGACATTCATATTCACTCAGTCTTTTGTAGAAAATTCAAAAACCCAAATATTGGGGGTATTGATTACCAGGAACATAGGAATATTCCGCGTCCGAAACAGCGGCGAGAAGTTCCGTATGTCTCTAAAATCAGACAAGAACAAATCGTAAAGTGCTGTAAATATTTTACATAGTATAAATTTTGTTCGCGTGATTTTACACAAAACCCACAATTACACTTTTACAGTGCCCCAGTTTCGTGAGAGTAGTAGATGAACTTCGAATTTATTTTATCGATAAAAAATACTTACACTTCGGGTTACAAATATTAATATACTGTATATTTGTAATATTTTTTATTTTAATACAATTATATATATATATATATTAGTATTATATATTATTATATTTATTTATTTATTTATTACTATATATATAATATATAAATTATTTAATAAATTACTATAACTAATTTACGTATACTTTTTATTGGTATCTACTAAATATTATATTAAAATTAAATATATTATATAGTATTATATAATAATAGAATTTATAGTATATTTTTTACTTCTTATTTACAAATAGTGAATATTAATGAAAATCAATAAGTTATTATCAAAATATAAACCTATGCATACTAATTACAGCTACCAGCCATATCATAAGCGTACGCCACTGTAAACGACAGCATCGCTATACGAGCGGTCATGAATCCCTGGTACTTTAAAACCAAATACTATGCCGGAATCGTTTGAAGCACGAAAAATATCGTATAAAAAGTGACCTTGTAAAGTAGACCTCGTTTCCAGTCTACCAAAGCATTCGTTTTTGGGCAGCTAGTTAAAATAATTACATTTTCAAGGCCACTTTTTTTACAAAATAACCGATTCTAGTACAAGGATCCCAGAATCCGGTTGTCATCGCTGGAGCGTAGCATGTTTTAAGGAGTAATATTTAGGCATTTTATATCACATGAACATTTTGGCTGTGTCAATGTGTGAGTAGTAAATGAACATTAGTGTATGTAATCCGTTATCGCGTATATTATGCCACCGTACATCGAATTCCCGGAACTACAATAATAATCAATATGAACATTTTATCTTTACATTTTATTGATTTGCACAACTTCACGTTTTGATGATCCAATACTATTATAATATAGGCAGTAGTTTGGACAGTATAGTACTATAAGACATTAATAATACTGTGAGAGCGCATATAAATCTGGACCGTATATACATGGACTTTATTTATTTGGACTGTACAATCGGATGTACAAATCTGGATTTTATATATACATATATATATATATATATATATTATTTTATTACCTACCTAACCATTTAAGTCTGCTGAGAGCTGGTCGTTTTTTCGCAAATTCGAACCAAAAAGCGGAAGAAAAATTCATCCGGTAACTAAAATCCTGATTTTAATTTTGAAAACACATTTGAATTCTTTATTCTCTTGTCTATGTTTTGTAGGAAATAATTGTTTTTATTTATTCGTTTTTTATAAGCATATAGTAAAAGAAAATTTAAAAAAAAAAATGTATTTGGTACTATGATAAATAAGCGATACAATATTTATGTTATAGCTAGAAATACTACAATTCTTAAAAATGTTCTAGCGTCCATACGCGCATGCAAAGGTCAATGAACACGAAGAAAATTTACACCTCGTTAAAAAATATCAAAAACGCTAAAAATCTAGACAAAATTGGGAGACTTGGGATTGATGAATTTAAATTTTGAAAACAGATTTAATTAAGTCACTATGTTAGCTAGGGATTGACCAAAGGAATTTTCTATATTGTAATCAAATAATAAGATATTGACAATTTAAAAAAACAGAAATTTATGTATTTTATGTATTTAAGTACGCCATTAATTTTTGTATCAATAAAAATTCCTTCAAACAAGTTTTAGTAAAGATGTTCAAGATTTTTAATTTGTTTTCAAAATTAAAAACCATCAAACCCAAGTCCCACAGTTTTGTCTAGCTTATGACCTGTTTTACGTGATTTTTTGCATCGTCTACAGCCCCCTTAATATTGCTATTATTTAAAAGCGTACGGCGGAATGCTTGGCAGATTAAATTAATTAAAAAAAATTATCTTAATAATTAACAACTCCGTTAAGTATTGATGCGCTTTGACATTGTTGCTTTGTCCAATATTTATTCTTGAACGTTTTGTGTTGAAATTGTAATATAATTGAAAAATGTTGCGAGTCAATTTTTCAACGATCGTACTGTTTTGTTAGCAATGTAATTGTTACATTATGTGAAGTATTCCACTACCAGGCAATTTATAAGATTAATACATATTTATATTAAAAATATAAATATTCGTAAATATCAGCCCAAGACTTCATGTCAGGTCACTACGTCGAATTAGTTAACGATTTCAATAGTGTTTAACCTTTTTCGGTTAGCAAGGACAATTTTATGATATTCAGTCGTTAATTGTTGGTCAAATAGTGATTTTGGTTTGTAGTTGAACGCACCAAGAAACATAAAACGTTATTGAACAGCTGTATTTATATTAATATAATCACATCGTACATCGAGTCCCAAACCGTAACGCGGTGGGAGGGGTGTTAAAAGTAACGTTTTCGAAGGTACGATGGCGTGTGCCTAAGGCGTATTCGAAAAATCAAAGTGGTCCGTGGTGCGCGGGGGTGCGCGTTACAAATACTCGCGCAGGTGTTCATAGTCCGCGGCCCATATGCGCGCGTCCTCGTCCCACTGACAGCCGTTGGCCACCGCGTACGCCAAGCAGTCCATGTGGCCGTAGACCGCGGCCCAGAAGCACGTCTTCTCGTGCCACGGGCAGCCGTGCTCGTGCGCGTACCGCATGCACTCGAGGTGGCCTTTGATCGCGGCCCAATAGGTGACCAGGCTATTCCACGGGCACCCGTTGTCGCGCATGTACTCCAAACAGTCCACGTGGCCGTTCTTGGCCGCCAGTATGCACGTGATCCTGTCCCAGTCGTAGACGGCGGTGCGGTGCAGGTACCGCAAGCAGTCCAGGCGCCCGCGGCCCGCGGCCAGGTCGCACGCGTTCCCGGCCGTCGGGCACCCGGCCTTCAGTGCGTACTCCAGACAGTCGAGGTGTCCGTTGCGCGCGGCCCACCGGCACGTGTTCGCGTTCCACGGGCACCCGTTGTCGCGCGCGTACCGCAGACAGTCCAGGTGGCCACCGGCCGCCGCGGCCTGGCACGTCATCGCGTCCCACCGGTAGCCAAGCGCGTGCGCCGCCCGCAGGCAGTCCTCGTGGCCGTTCCACGCGGCCGTTCGGCACACCCAGCCGTTCCGCGAGTCCGTGACCCGCGGCCCGCCGCGCGCGATCTCCAACAGCGCGGCACAGCACCGTTTCAGCTTCACCTTGACCACGTTCTTTGGCTTCGTGTCGTACCAACGTTTCGCCGGCTCGTCGCACGCGTTGTACGACATCTTGACCAGGTTGAACATGGTGGACGAACAATTGCCGGCAGTCGATCACGGCAAACGTCAAACGTTTGGCGCAGGTAGCGGCCGACCGGACGATTACTCTTTGCTGGGCGCGTTTCGTTTGAACGAAGACCTGCGCGAAAAACAATTGTCAAGCCGTTGCACCGATCGTAGTGGCATGAGTTGCCCAGCATTGTGTCGTGAAGAGAAAGGTTACCGCGTCGATTGGTTGTTATGCAGACGGGACAGGAGCTGATGAGACTGTCAAACTTTGGTTTTCGTCGATGAACACTTACAGTTTTGACAGGCTATTGTAGAACCGTCCAAAAAGTGTCGGCGCACAAACGGGTACACAACAAGACTATGACGCATTTCATTTATTTCATATTGTGTGACGTTTACCTATTGCCAAGGAGATCTTTTATACATCACAATAATCAGATGTATTCGATTTTTTTCGGATATCAACTTATAGTTCATATTATTCTATAAGTAATACTTTATAAAATATACTTAAAATTTAACTATAGGCTCCAACGGCTGCATAAGTACAATAAACTGAAAGATAGGAAGACTTAGTTAGCCCCCCTTATTTGTACCGACTCCACATAATAGATACAATTAATTAAAAAGTAAGAGTAATTATTAGTAAAATAATTTATTACAGGTACCTATATGAGATCTATTAGATATGTGTCCAGCTTGTATAAAGCCATGTATTTATTCGATTTTTTTTTCAATTTTAGAATGTTATTATTGTTTATTATTTATATATACAATGCATATCTATTCATTTTTTATCATAATTATTTCATAATGCCAATTTTTATATCACTGTAATTGTTCTCTTTCATTTTTATTTCCTCTATTTGATTATATTATGTATATTGTAGATGTCATAAAATAAAAGATATATTATGTTATTATACTTGTATATACCAGTGGCGAATGTTAACTCTGTTGTATGAGCATGCTCATTTATCACAATGTTCTATAGTTATATTTAATTTATAATTAATAAATATTACAAACATTTGTATTTATTTATTTATAAGACTTCAATTTACTATAAATATATTAGCACTTATTTAAATAATATTTAACTAACTAAACAATATTAAAAAAATAACGCAATATAACAAAACGAAGAAAAATTGTCATATACTCGTACACATACATTTTTTAAATTACGACATTGACAAAGCGCAACAGAATGAACATGCTCTGAGTTATATATGCCGCGGCTGCTAGTAGAGGTGGTCTCGGAACAGCTAGTATTTTACAGCGGTAACAAGCGTCGTATAGCTTGCGCACACATCTATCGTATGCTCTGTCATTAAATGTAACAAAGTATAACAGAATTAAATTACATTATTGTAATACATTATGTTCTTTTAAAATACATAATATATTATTGATTACAAAATAATTTTTGTATTTTGATTAACAACGTTTTTATGCGGCATGCCTGGAGAATTCACCACTGGTATATAGATTAATTATTATTGTATTGTTTACAAATGTATTATTAATATAATTTTTATCCTTAAAGTAGAGTAAGACTACCTTACTCCCACCACAAGAATTGCTCACAGTAAGTAGGTATCAACATTATACGTATATTAAACTTGTTTTGTATACTTACATGTTTTAATGTTGAAATAAATAAAAAAAATTATTTTTGAACTCATAACAATTATTGAATTTATTTAAACTATAGTTAATTAATATACCTATATTATACAGATTTTTAACTCTCTACGTCGATCAAAATAATATTGCATAAATTCGCAATTCTCTCTTTTAATATATTTCATTACATAGGCACATGGAATCGTATATGTGGTTCATTACCAAACATTTTATATTATACTACACATACTATTAAATTTTAGTCGTTACAAAAGGTCTTCAAACACAGTGAATCTGCATAAAGAGTATATATCACCTTAAGTTCAGACTCTCGAGAAGGTCGAAGTTGTGTGCATTTTAGTTACTTCATCATAATATACCTGAAGGTAGTAATCAACATTCGATTAAGATAAAAATAATTATTCAAAGCCGCCGTCAATAAAATCGATGATTTTACAATACGCAGCTATCGTGGAGAAAAGATACAGACAAGCACATTTCAGATACCCCTCACAATAGATACGTACAAAAAAAAAATATTAAAACAACCATATAACCACGTAAGAAAGATTGGATACCTCAAACATTACATGTAAAAGAAATTATTTAGAAAATATATGGGAAAATATAGAATTTATTGGCCAATAAACACATATACCGGTTTCTGTCTTTAACAATATTTTAATTACAATTTAAATAACATTATATAATGCACATCTATTTTTATATTGATTAATAAATAACTTTTTTTTTTATTTATATCATATCTCATTATTGGTCCTTAAACAATCATTAGTTATATTTTTTAATTAAGTGAATTTTGGGAAACTTCGCACTTTAATTTTATTCTTTGCATAAAAATAGGGATAGAATAATTCAAATTCAACATTATTACCATAAAATTATATAAATTTGAGCTGTATTAATATTTATGTATATATTTTACTCAATATTACATTCATAATTTGTTGTATTATTTGAGCAATAAGTTAATTTGATGACATGATTATATTTTGACTGGAAGGATAGATTCCTTATAGGTATCTTCCTGCGAAGGCACTTTCATTGTTAAATATTTAAAATTTGAATTGCTTTTTTTACATTTATTTATAAATTCTTATATAAAAACACAAAATGAAGAATTAGCAACTTGACATTTGTATAATTTATTTCACTGTTTATTATTGCTAAGTAAAAAATATTTAAATGTATGTAAATTTATGTGAGTATAAAAAAATCAATCAATTATTCAATTAAGTGTATACTAACGATTAGTTCATGTGGCATGATTTAACTATAAGTACACTATCTTATGTTACCTCTAAAGGCTCATCCAATATTTGTTTTTTTTTTTAATATTTATTTATTTATACCTACTTCTTTTTCTTGTGGTTAAGTTATTGTCTAAAAACGTGAATGGTATCTCACTTATCTAGGAAATTTTAATACAGACGTACGAACGCGAGCGAATGCCACCGAATACATTCGAACGAGAATTCGTTGATAATTCGGTCGTTTTCTGTATACAAGACTATTCGTGGTCGTTTGGGCTTGTTCTCCAGCATTTGTATTGAATTCGCTTTGAAAACCAATATGGTTTGAAATATTTAGTTATGGGCACAAATTCTCAAAATAACCGAATCAGAAATGACAGCCGAATATCGTTTGAACTGAACGAGCATTTTCTCTGGTCGTACCGCCATTCGAACGAGCGTCACCGAACAATAACAAATCGTTCGGCACCCATTCGTTCGTGTTCGGGCTATAATGTACGAGTAAACGCACCTTAACCACTTTACATAGGATAAATTATGTGTATTATTGTTTTAATTTAATTTTTACTTATCGTATCTTAATATTTGGCTCTGTTTGATATATTAGATTAAAATATTGATGATATATTATTCGAATATAAAACAATGTTACCAAATTATTGTTTTTAATTTGCTACTCACAAAGAACTATTTTGAGATTGATGGTATTTAAAATTCGTTTTCCAATGATATTTTCTATCTGCGGCGAATCAATTGTTTTTATGCCCTATGAAAATACTGGTAGATATGTGTGAGTAAGAATAGAAAACCTGATAAGATGGTTGAAGTGTAGGAAGAGGGTAGCTAACCTTATGTAGTTGAGAGAAAATGTGAAGACGAAGAAAAAGTAGAAAATAATTACACAAAAAATTTCATTAAATTGAATCAAAAATAAACACAACTGTTTAAATAAGTTAGGTTTATTTTTGTCAGATACTATTTTTTGGAACAAAGAAAACAAAAATATTGAATTTCTTAATGAAAACTGTGTTTTTTTTTATTCAGATTTATTTATTTTTTAATAAATGATTAATATTATGTTTTAAGATTTAAATTATGTATGCAACAGTTAGTCAATTAACAGTTCTATAATAACTAATTGTAAGTACTTATAATATAATTTAAAAACGTTTACTTAAAACAGTATTATTAATAATATTATTTTTAGAACGTTTTGAGATGAAATGGTAAAATGACCTTCAGTCTGCAGCAATATAACAAAATAGAAATCAAGTGGGTTTTAAAATATCGACATACACAAAATGTTCGTTTGTGAGGGTTTGCATTCATATGGTGTATTATAAAAACATATACATATATATACAGGGGTCAGGAATACCGGTTTTGTTGTAGGGTAAGATAAACCACCCAAACTCTGGTGATTCTAAGAAAATATAAATTATTACGCAGCGTGGACCCTAACGATTGTGTGCTAGCCAAACGACTGTACTGTCAAGATTATATTTATTTTTTTGTTCATATAAATGTACATTATATATAAACATGTGTGTGGAGGTTTTCGTATAGAGGTTCCCATGTATACAAAAAAAGTATCCGAAAATGTTTTTGTGTTTTTTTTTCGATGGAATCTGGGATATAGACGTTTACATTTTGAAAAATGTCTTCGACTACGAAACATGTGTATAAATGGTCCGGAGGACTATTTTGATAATAATATATGTATTGTATTGTACACATCTGTTGCACTGTGCATGAAAAAAAAAATGTTTAGAACAAGTTATCATTATTAATTGGATTTTTTTTTGGTTGCTTAAGATTTTTAAATTCTAGTTTATACATTACTATATTGTAGTATTTTTATTATATTTTAGCCTATAGAGGAGGTCGTCGATGGATCTAAAATTGCTTTTAACTATACTACTGCTGCAGTAGATATACTCTAATAACGCATATCGTATATCTTCAGTAAGGCCAAAATATGTGATATTAGGTTTCATTGACGGCAAGTTAAACATACGTCTAAACTATATATATATATAGTAAATATGTACACACACACACACACACACATAAATATATATATATACTCGGTCGTTAATCATTTAATGACACGTT